CTTGTCTTATCCTTAGAAATCCTTGGATGAAATTGATAGAGTTGTATATCGATAAGATAGTGAAGTTGCATAAGAATTAGAAGGTAAGAAGCGAAGAGTCTTCCATTACAAAAATTTCGGGGACGAAATTTCTAAAAGGAGGGGAGAATTGTAACACCCTGAATTTTCTTGTTGATTATTATTTATTAATTAAAGGGGTTTTATAGAGGTTTGTATTAATTTAAAATTATTTATGAAAATTTTTATAAATTATATTTTTTAGGCTGGAACGGGCTGTTCCAAAAGTGGAACGGACCGTTCCAGATAATGAAAATAAGTTGTTTTTGAGGGACTAGAACGGGCCGTTCCAAAAGTGGAACAGGTCGTTCCAAAGAAGAAAATTACTCATTTTTGTATTTCCAGAACGGGCCGTTCCCAAAGGGAAACGGGCCGTTCCAAGGTTATGAAATTGCCTAAAGACCTTAGTTGGAAACGGGCCGTTCCAACTATGGTCAATCAGTGTTAACGTGAACTTCAGAACGGGCCATTCTGCTTTTTGAAACGGGCCGTTCCAATTTTTGAACGGGCCGTTCCAGTTACTAAATTTGCCTATGTTCGAAGGATCCGGAACGGGCCGTTCCGAATCCAATACGGGTCGTTCCGGGGACCCCAGGATGCCTATAAATAGGGGCAATGGGGGGTGGAAATTTTATACTAAGTGAGAAGGTGAAATCTTAGAGAGAGAAAGAGGAGAGAGAGATAGAGAGAGAGAAAGAAAGAAAGAAAGAAAGAGAGGGAAGGAAAGAGGGAATCCAGAGGAGGAGGCTCTGCCCAAGTTTCAACTCCGCCCAGGTAAGGGGGGAGTGAGAAACCTCGCTCAGGGGTGTGGGGATAATTGTTGGATAGTTTGTTTGTCGGATTGGCCCCCAATCCGTTGCCGTTGTTCTGTCTTATTTTCTGTTTGCTCTATTTTATTTCTTGTTGAAATTAATAAATGATTATGTAATCTCAATCTCTTACTGTTGTTCTGTCTGATTTTCTATTTACTTTACCTTGTTCTTTGTTGAAGGTGTCGTTATTCTGTTTGATTTTCTATTTACTCTACTTTGTTCTTTGTTAAAAAGTAATAAATGAATATGGAATTAATGCTAAAATAAATAAGTTTTAATATGAAAAAGAATGTTCTCTGAGAATTCCTGTGCGGACTTTATGAGGAGTATTGATGACGTGACCATGTGAAATATGGACAAATGACATGAGACCTAAGAATGGACTATTGAGACAAACTATGATTATGAGACTATGACAAATGAGGACATGATGTACTAAATGAAATTCTGTAATAAGTTAAATGTTGAGTTAATGAAATAATGAATATGTGACATGCATCATATGCATATATTACTCCAGGTGTGCCGCTGAGGCCGCATACCAGTGATGTAACTTGCTAACGAGGTGTACCTTAGGGTCACCAGTGATGTAACTTGCTAACGAGGTGTACCTTGGGGTCACCAGTGATGTAACTTGCTAACGAGGTGTACCTTGGGGTCACCAGTGATGTAACTTGCTAACGAGGTGTACCTTGGGGTCACCAGCGATGTAACTTGCTAACAAGGTGTACCTTAGGGTCACCAGTGATGTAACCAGGTGTACCTTAGGGTCACCAGTGATGTAACCAGGTGTACCTTTGGGTCACCAGTGATGATATGTGAAACTTCCTTATGGCGCCACATGCATGCATTTATGAGTCGAGTTCATGACATTATTGCATGATAAATGAATGTATATGTGATATTGATGATGTATGTGTATTGTTTACATTTGACTTATATTTGTTGTGTGTGTGTGGGTGCTATCTAACCTTTATTTCTTCACCTAAAACTGAGTGAGAAGTTTCTCACTCCCTTGTTGTTTTTGTATATGTTTAAATTATGTTGCAGGTGATCAGCATCATGAGGATGTTGGTAATGAGGTTTAAGGCTTCAGTTGGGCATGCTCTGATAGGATGTGACATCGGGCATAGCTAGACTTATTTTGGATGTTATTGTTTTAAAAAGCTTTAATTTTCTCTTCTTTTGTAATTTTGAACGTTCTTGAGAAAAGACCAAAATGTATATCTTTGTTATATTATTTTTATTACATGAATTGAAAGTTATAAATTAATTCCTAACTAGGAGGCACTGCCACCTTTGCTGGAATTAATCTATATTTTTCTTTATATGATTTCTTGAATTTTTATACTTACAAGACGACTTTCTAAGATTTATGAGTTACGAATGTGAATCTTCTACTTTATGATGTTTGAGACAATTGTTTTATACATGAAAGATGGTACCAAATTATGAAAGATTTTATTTACTCAAATACAATAAGATAGTATTTTGTGTATTAATGTTGGGGTAGAGGGTGTCACACAGACTTGATCTATGTATTAAGAA